CTCGCCTTTCCTCCTTCTCTCCTCCTCCTCCCACGCGACCCTACACCAGCACCGATTCTGGCCAGGCCAGCCCTGGGGCCAGCATCGGTGTGAACGCCTTGCAGGGTGGTGGAAGACGCATGCACCGAGCACGGCTTGGATGGCGTATGTATTGATCTTGTGACTGGGACTGGCCTTGTCAGGATCGGAGGAGGGGTATAGTTGCCGCCCTCATATTCCAGCTATCCGCGGGACGTGTTGCGAATTGCCTCAGTCCCGCTTCCCGTCTGGAGAGAGCCCGACGCCTCCTGACGACTGCCTTGAGGAGCGGGATGTTTGTCCCGCAGCTGACGATCTGAGCAACTGGTTCGGATGCACTGCAATCGCCGTCAGCATCACCATCCATCATCGTCACCATCACCACAATGTTTCGGCCCCTGGAAGGCTCGGATGCCGTTGCTTGCGCCGCACGTTTTACCGAGAATCGAGACCCCATGCAGACTTCCCGAGGTCGGGCCAGTCCGCAGGATGTGTCCTTAGAAGCCGTTGATTAGTACGCAGGACTTTCCTCAGTAGCCGTTGATGGTTGCCCCCCGCGGTACCATACCCGATTGTGTAGCCTTGCGCAGGTGAGGTTGGCTTGGCCGCTTCTGCCCTTATGAGGTTTTGCTGGGCTGGACGCCGCGGCTGAGGCTCAGCGGGCGATGCGGACGCAGACGCCCCCACTGCAGCCGCGAAGGCCTCCGGAGGTCCCGGGATGTGCGTTTGGAGGCCCAGAAGAGGGCAGACCTCGACCCTGGACCCTCGAGGATGGGCTCCTGCATGAGCGACGGAGCGAGGGAGGGGGAGGAGGGGGGGTGGGGCAACGACAGGGGGGATAGGCATAGGGGGGATGCATCGACCCCCAATCGCCCGATCGTCGATAGGGGCCCGACAGCCCCAACCTGCACAGGAAGGTGCGGCTTCACTCTCGGGAGCCTATCGCCGATCCACCGGCGATGTATCGCCGATTCCAGGTCGGTGCATCCCCCCCTCTGCCAGTCCCCCCCTAGCGTTGCCCCTCAGCGGATGGGGGGGCCCTGGGAGGCGCGGGCGGCGTGCTCGGGGCTGGCGAGGACCCGCCGCTGTGCGCCCTGCTGACGTCCCCGGAGGCCGCCAGGGTGTTCCTGCAGGCGGCCCGCCACCCCCTGCTGCAGCCCCTCCTCCCGCTCCTCATTCTCCTCCTCCTCCTCCTCCTCCTCCTCCTCTCCTCCTCTCCTCGCTCTCCTCCTCCTCCTCCTCCTCCTCCTCCTCCTCCTCCTCCTCCTCCTCCTCCTCCTCCTCGCTCTCCTCCGTCTCCCTTCTCGCCCTCCAGATTACTCCTCCTCGGACGAGGAAAAAGTATCCGTACCGCTATCCTTTCCTCTTTTCCGCGTTTTCGGGCGTCCGGGGAGGCCCTCGTCGCCACAGCTGGTTTCGACTCGAAATTCTGGTCATAACGCACCCGGGAGAGGTCCAGGGAGTAGATCTTTTGGTTCCCCACCTCCACCTTCCTCCTTGTCTTCCTGTTCGCTCTCGTGTTCTGTTTATTCTGGCCTTCGCGGGCCCTTCTCGTTGCCGCGGCTGGGCGCGGCTCGAAACACTGACCTGTACGGATCTCGGAAGGAGTCCAGCGACCCGCTTTGAGCCAGCTTTTGGTCGGGGCAGTCCTGTTGATGCTGGTGTCGTTTGGTTTGCTGGTGCTGATCCGACGAAATGGCAGTATTCATGGGCCGTCCCTTGGCAGGTCCTCTTTTGTCTCGGTCCCCTCCTCTACGTCTCGCCTCCTCCACCTTCTCAGAATCGTTAACGCTTAGCGGATCCCCATCCGCCCATCCAGACACGATGAGCAGCGGAGATGACCTGAACGGGGGAGCGTTGCATTATTTAGAGACGTTGGGAGCCTGAGTGAACTAGAAGCCTCTTGGATGCCTCTCGGAGTCGCTTGGGATGTCTCCTGGGGGGCTCGTGGTGGCCGCTTGGGGCGTCTTGGGGGCCTCTTGGGGGTTCTTGGGGGTCTCTTGGGAGGGCCTCTTGGCGGCCTCTTGGCGGCCTCTTGGAAGCCTCATGCAGGCCCCCTCTGGGCCAACCTGGAGGACATCGATCAAAGAAGGAGAGGGGTTCTTAATGAAAGCTGCCTCTCGAGAGTTCCTAAGATCGTTTTCCGGGGCTCTCTTGGTGCGTCCTTGGGCGCTCTTGGGGCCGTCTTGGAACCTTGCTGGGCCCCTCTTGGGTCTCTCTCCAATTTGAGGCCCCGGAAGGACATCGGAAGCGAACGGGCGAGAACGCCAGAATCAAGTAGTTTGCTTCTGTGTTGGAAGGGCTTGGGCCTCTCGGGGGCGTCCTGGGGAGTCCCTAAGGCCATTCGGACCCGTGTCGGAGCGGTCTTGGGATTTTCTTGGAGTATGTTGGAAGCCCTCTTGGGCGACCTCGCGCTATCGTGAGCCATCTTGGAGGCCACCCTGGGCTCCCTGGGGCCCTCTTGGAGCCATCTTGGGCCACTTTGGACGCTCCAGCGATCCGCGGCCACCCTTCGTCCAGACCCAGGGGTGGGGGTAAAGGGGGGATCAAGATACCCCCTAGGTAGCAAGCCGTCCAGCTCACTCCCACCCGCGCTCCCAACACATGAGGCGGTCGTCATTGGATGGGCAGCTACTAGGAACCAAAACCGACCCCATGTGCGCGACGCTGGGGCGACATGCGCCACGCGTGCCATGCGCGCCACGCGCGCCAGGCGCCCCTGGGGCCCGAGCGTGCCAGGCACGCTTGGTGCGCCAGATGCGCCACATGCTCCGCGTGCGCCAGGTGCGCTGCATACTCCAGCCTCGCCAGGTGCGCCACGTTTGGGGCACGTGCAGACTGCGTCAGGTGGGCATGCGCACGTGACGGCACACATCGGGAAACATGTTTGCCCCCACCAACTTTGTCGAAGACCAATGTCCATCATTGTGCTTGGCGGGCCTGCGCACGGCAGGCCATACGCCACCACCCCTGCCGTTCCTGTCCTGTCAATTTCCCTGGCGACGTACCCAACCCCTGCGCAATGCGGGGCAGGAGTAGCGTGGGAGATTCGACGAGAAGGCGGCGACGTGACAGGGACGCATACACGTTTGCGAGCGGCATTCGGAAGGTTCGCAGGCCCCCAATCAAGGGAAACACGATGAGTAATTACGTGAACACCTGAGTCACAAGGAAGACGCAAGGTCTAAAAAGGGACCGGTGGGCAAGGGGCTGGAAACGTCGGCGGGGCAGCACTAACATGACATGCCCCCCCAAGGACGGCGAGGCTCCGCTCAGGTCTGCGCGGTGCCTCAGTCCGCTGGACCCACCAGCAGCCCTCCAAAGTGGCGAGCCCACCAGCAGCCCTCGAAAGTGGCGACAGTTTCGCAGATCGCAGCCCCCTAGGGACGGGGAGGTCTCGCTCAGATCCGCGCGGTACCTCATTCCGCTGGACCCACCAGCAGCCCTCGAAAGTGGCGACCGTTTCGCAGATCGCAGCCCCCCACGGACGGGGAGGTCTCGCTCAGGTCCGCGCGGTGCCTCATTCCGCTGGACCCATGCTTCTGCCTTTCAGCTCGCTGAGGGGCAGCGAACGCGATCTGTGTTTCTGGGGCGACGGAGGAGGAGGCAATGCTCGTAGGGTAAGAGCAAACCTAAGCAGCCCACTCAAGCCCAAGCCCCGAACTTGTCGCGAATGGGTGTCGTAAGGATTGTTATTGACGGATCAAGCGCGCCGGCTGAGCGTATTGGAATTTGGCCCTGGAAACGATGCTGCTTCCCGAGCGACCTCCAATTTCTGCCTGCCTATTCCGACCGATGGGCACCGTGTTGCTTGTCCGCAGCACTGGCTCCTCCAGCCGCTCTGGCCAAAGCCAGCCGGGCTCACGACCGCGAGGGTGCACCGTCGCCAGGGCGGGGCTGCCTCCGATCCCTCCGATTCGCTTCGATCCGACTCCTGTGGCTTCCGCTTCCGACTCGAGTCGACTTCGGACTCCGATTTGGATGCCGATTCCCAGGGGACCACATGCGAACCCTACCCCTACCCCCCACCATATCTGAGGGGGAGGGTGGGGTTCACTTAGTTCAGGAGCTCCCGAGCGAAGTGAACCCCACCCTCCCCCCGGAAATCGTGGGGGAAGCGGTAGGGTTCGCATGTGGCCCCCTAATTCCTCAATGGAGGCCTACTGAGCTGCCGGTTTCTGCCGATTCGACTTCTCCCGACTCGGCTGCCGATTTCCGCCGAGCGGATTTATTTCGATCGCCGCTCCCACTCATCGATCCGATTCTTGGCTCTCCTGGGGTATAGGGGCAGGGGGGAAGACTTCTCTTAGCAGCACCCCTGCTGCTCGGGAGGCGCGAGCCGGCGCCCTCTGAGCAGCGGCCTCCGTCTGAGAAGCCTCTCCCCCTCCCCCTGCCCCCGGCGCAACGGTCGGGCCGGACGAAAGGGGGGGATTGGGAAAGGGGGGTTTACGAAATCTGCTGCATGCATCTGGTTTCGGCCCCACCGAGGGGCCCATGCCTCGAGACACGGCCGCCATCCGGCGCCGGGAGGCGCCGGCAAAGTCAGCTATACGCGAGCTGATTCTCACCCCCCCCATTTCCCTGACCTCCCAGAGAGCTATTTTTTAGCACTGGGGGCCTAAAAGCCTAAAGCACTGAGCGAAACAGCCTAAAACCAAGACGAAGAAGAGCCTTGGGATCGGTTTTTCGGTCGCGTGCTATTTTTTGGCCCTCTTGGAAGGTCAGGGCCTTTGCTATCCCCCCCTTTCGCCCGGCCAGAGCTGATTCTCAAGCCCCCCCTTTGCCTGACCTTCCAAGAGGGCTAAAAAACAGCACCCGACCTAACAACCTATCCGAAGGCTATTCTACGTCTTGGTTTTGGGCTGTTTCGCTGAGTTGTTTACGCTTTTAGGCCCCCAGTGCTGAACAATGGCTCTCTGGAAGGTCAGGGTTGCTATCCCCCCCTTTCGCCCGGCCCGAAACGCCGCCAGGGACCCTCCGCCATGGCCGCGCCCGCGGCGGGCGGGCCGGCGCGCGGCGGCGCCTGCGTCCGCCTCTCGGCCCTCTGCGGGGCGGGCGGCCAGGCCCGGGCACCCCTCGAGGCCGCGCCGGGGCCGGAGCTGCTCGGGCACCGGGCGCCCCTCGCGGGCGCGCCGCGGGCTGCCGAAGGCGAGGGTTACGTCGGGCGTGTCCCCCATACAGGGGGATTTTCGACGAAAAATAAAAGATATCCCAAAGTATCCCAAAAAGATCGAAAAGATACTATGAAAATAGTCCCCAGACTATTTTTGGACGATTTTGGGATTATTTTTTGGGGATTTTTTTTCATTTTTCGTCGAAAATCCCCCTGTAGGGGGACACGCCCGACCTAAGGCGAGGGCCCTGCCCCAGCTGCGGAGGAGGCCCTGGCGGAGGCACCAGCCGTTCAGGAGGGAGCGCCGGGCCCGAAGGGTTCGGAGACGCCAGGGCCAGCGGGAACGCCGAGGGATCAGACGCCTGCCTCGACGAAGGCGCGCTCAGCCAAGGCCCCGCGCTTGGATGCGCTGGACGCGCCCAGATGGCTCTGCTCTTGCATGATCGTGTGCTATCACTTCTACAAGGAGGAGCTCGGGGTGTTTGCCGAGTGGGGGAGTGCTTGGACACAGTTCTTCTTTGTTCTGAGCGGTTTCGTCTTGGCCTACGTGGAGATGGCTCGACCAGTCTCGAAGGCGCCGAACATCAGCCAACTCGAGTACCTTAGGAAACGCTTGATCACCGTTTACCCGACTTATCTGCTTGCCCTGCTTCTGAGGATGCTCACCAATAGAATATACCACCCGGCTTTCGATTGGGCAGTCTTGCCCATGCACGTATTGCTAATACAGTCATGGGTCCCCATCTGCATCGAGAAGGAGGCGCATCCTCGGGAGATCTGCGTCGACTTCCCCATTGCTTGTGGACCCGCGGATAGCCACGTTCTCTGCGCGACGCAGCGGTGGAACGGTGTGGCTTGGTTCATGAGCTGTCTGGTCGTTTACTGGTTGCTTCTCCGGCCGTTGGCGCGGCACTTTCGCACTTATTCGATCGGTGCGTGTTATTGTTAAGTCGGGCGTGTCCCCCTACAGGGGGATTTCCGACGAAAAATACAAAAACACCGCCAAAATATAACAATAATGCAAAAACATAGTAAAAGAATAGGCCCCAGACTATTTTTGGAATATGATTTGATTATTATTGGGGGTATTTTTTATTTCTCGTCGAAAATCCCCCTGTAGGGGACAGGCCCGACTTAACGTCATTGTGCCCTCTTGGGGCTCTGGCTCTTCTCGGTTGTGCCCGGTCTCCTGCAGTGGACGGAGCAAGGGGGAACCTGCACGGGATACTGCTACCAGGTGCTCTGGTCTGCGATCCAGGGCTGCTCCTTGGGCTATGCGCAGTGCCTCGCACGAGCACGGCCGGACGTAGCAGTGTGTTACGTTCCTCCTTCTCCTCCTCCTCCTCCTCTTCCTCCTCCTCCTCCTCCTCCTCCTCCTCCTCCTCCTCCCCTTCGCCTCCTCCTCTTTCTCGTTCTCCTCCTCCTCCTCCTCCTCCTCCTCCTCGTGTTGACCGTGTCACGGTTTACTGTTGTGTTTGGGTTTCTTTGGTCCGCCTGGTTTGTTCGAGTTGCTTTGCCTGGCCTGAGCGCATGTAGCTTGTCTTCCGTCTGCTCTGTCCGTTCTGGCATGGAATGTCAAGTATGTGTGCCTTCTCGTCCTCCTTTTGTTCATCTTTGCTCGAATCACTTGTGTTAGCGAAGTTAGTACCCAGTCCTTGACATGTTGTCAGCGTGGACCCCAAGCAGCCAGCTGGTGGTGCACAGTGATGGAGAAGGTATGTGGTTGAAGCAATGTGGTGCAGGCTGTGAGGTTAAGCAATGTGGTGCAAGCTATGAGGTGAACAGCCATGTGGCTGAATCTGTTTGGAGCAAGCTGTGTGGCACAGCATACCTGGTGTATGCTACGTGATGCAATCCCTGTGGTGCGAGCTATGTGGCGCAAGCTACGCGATTCAGGCCATCTGGTGGAAGCTCTACGGCGCATGATATGTGGTGAGCGTTACTTGGTCCAAGCCGTGTGGTGCAAGCTATGTGGTGCAGCCAGTGCGCCACCTGCCCACGAGGCACCCACGGGCGCCCACCAGGCGAAGCCCACGAGCCAGCGCGAGGCGCCCACGAGACGACCACGGGCGTCTGCGGGCACTTTCGACGCCAGGTGGGGTCCCAGCCTCCACGTGCCGCTCTGAGGCGCCCGCGCCGCCCGACGCGGACGCCTCTCCCGCGTCGTCGTCCCCCTACGGATGCCGTCCTCCTGCTTTGGCAGGCGCTGCGCTGGGCAGCAGGAAGGAGGGGAAGCTCGCCTCTTGCTCTCGAGCCCTACCTGCCAGTATCGATAGCGAAGAAGGGCGCAAGCTCCTGACTGGTCGCCCCATGTTTGCCATGTGCTAGCGAAGGCCTTCTATCAAGAGCATGCGGGGGTTCTGGAGGTCCTCATCAAATGAGGCTCGGCACCAGGGCCCATGATAACGGGCTCGATGGGTGGGATGGCGCTCTCATTTAGCCGTGCTTGCTGCAAGGTCTGCCCAACGTGAATGTTTGACTTTTGTACCTCTGCTTCGCTGTGGCAGTGAGCTGATTACCCTCAGGCTTGATGCGGTCGTCAGGGCTATGGACCCGGCCCCGCAGGAGGTACGTCGCCCTCCTTGAAGCCGTTCTGCCTCTGCCGTCACTGGCTGTAGGCCCCTTGCTGCAAGGCGAGGAGGGTGCGCCTTAAGCCGCGAGGGCATCACTGTGCCCTCATCTTCCCCGTGCCATTGGGTGACCCTACGCCCGAGGGCAGCTAGGTGACCTCCCCCCATCCGCGCAGTTGTCCCCGCAGGGGCCCCCGTTCACGCCCACGACGAATACCTTCACCGACCCTGGGCACTGGGCACTGGGCTAGAGTCGCAGTCGGCGTGTTCCCCCCGCAGTGCTTGCACGTAGAGATTCCCACTGCTGGTGCACATGGAGCCGGATGGTGACAGCGGGTTTTCGCCGGGTTGTGGGCCCGTGCCGCCTCGTGGGCGCCTCGTGGGCGCCCCGCGCTTGGGGGGCACGGCGGGGTTTCGCCGCGATGTGGGCCCTGTGCCGCCTCGTGGGCGCCCCGTGCTTGGAGCTTACACGACGTAGCCTCAACCACATAGCTTGCACCACACAGCTTGCACTGCACAGGTCAAACGGCACAGTGTCCATTACATAGTTTACACAGTACAGGTTGTACCAGGTGAATCTCCATGCATATATATGAACACACACTGTGCCACAACACAGCTTGCAATTCATAGCTGTCACACCCATTTTACATACCGAGTAGCTTGCACGACCTAGCTTGCACCACCGAGTTCACGCAGCATAGCGTGCATTCAAATGTTCATCTCCATACCTCCCATCATATGGCTTACACGCCACCGGTTACATCTCATAATGTGCACCATATGGACTTCACCTCCCGCGCACACAACATGCATTACACGACATAACTGACGACGCATAGCTTTCACCGCCGTAGTTCTTCCTACCACACAGTTTTGCACAACATAGCTTCCCCCGTCTAGTCTGCACCGCATTTGGAGCTGTAATCATGCGTATATATACATATATATATACATATAAAGATTATGTGCATATATATATATACACATCAGGTCACTGCTTACGCGACGCTTGCACAGCATCTCATACACACATTTCACTACCATTTGGAGTACCATGTATTCAATTAGGTACACTGTTTCTTTGAGTGGAAGAGCTGCAAGGGTACGCCGGGCTTTCGCCCTGTGCCCGCCAGTGGGCGCCTCGTGGGGGGCCCTAGCGCTGGGGAGGGTACGGCGAGGTTTCGCTGGGTGCCCGCCCGCGGGCGCCTCATGGGCGCCAAGCGCTGGGGCGGGGAAGAGGAGGAGGAGGAGGAAGAGGAGGAGGAGGAGGGGGAGGGGGAGGAGGAGGAGGAGGAGGAGGAGGAGGAGGAGGAGGAGGAGGAGGAGGAGGAGGAGGAGGAGGGAGGAGGGAGGACGGAGGAGGAGGAGGAAGACGAGGAGGAGGAGGAGGAGGAGGAGGAGGAGGAGGAGGAGGAGGAGGAGGAGGAGGAGGGGGGGGAGGATGCGCCGAAGTTTCGCATGGTGCCTGACCGGTGGCGCCTCGTGGGCGCCCCAGCGCTGGGGGTGCTTCGCCAAGGTTTCGCCTGGCGCCCGCCACATGGGCGCCTCGTGGGCGCCGCGAAGCTTGCGCCGCACAGCCCACACCACAAAACTCACACCTCCTTCTCGTCCACCGCCTCCTCCTCCTCCTCCTCTCCTCCTCCTCCTCCTCCTCCTCTTCCTCATCCTCATCCTTCTCCTCCTCCTCCTCCCTCCCTCCTCCTCCAGCACGCACTCCTTAGCTTACTCAGCCTAGCTCAGACCTCACAGCTCACACCACAGAGCTCACGTCACACAGCCTGCACCGCACCGCTCACACCACGTAGCTCACACCAAATCGCTGGCACGGCACAGTCTGCACAGCATCGCTTGCAGAGCATAGCTTACACCACGTAGCATACACCGCATAGCTTTCATGCCCAACTTCCTGTTTGGCGACCACGTTGGCGATCATCTGTCAGCTTCCCCTCCAGCACGAGCTCTCCCACTGTGAAGCTGCTCGGTACATATCCATCTACACTCTTTGGTGTAAATACAACTGTTGTCTAAGTCCCTTAGCCAGTTCGTTTTCCTCGGCTTCTGGCCGCCTGCTCTTCCTGTATCCCCTGTGCTGAAGGCGCCAAATCGGGGCCAGCATGTTGCAACCTATTGCGGTCCTTCCCGAGTTGGTCAATACCCGCGTGGAGAGCAAGGAAGGCACACACACAGTGATGACCGACGGCGCCGACGACTGGGCATTGCTTTGACTGCCGTGAACGGTTCGCTGCTGTTCGTTCTTGAAGAAGCTCCTGGACATCCACCGCGAATTCGATGGTGGGCCCCGCCACCGTCCTAATGTGCGAATGACCTAAGTTATATGATGTCCTCAACATAGCTAAACGCATCAGCCGAGGCTGCAGGAAGGTCTGAGGCATTAGCGCCTATGTTGGCCGTCTGGCGCTCTGGACTCGCAGCCAGCCTGTCCACGAGTGCATCGTGACGCCTCTTGGATAGTCTTCCATCATGATTCTCCCATTCGTGTTAGTCACCCTCCATTCTCCCTCTGTTCCCCGCTGTCTTGGGGCCGTCTGGGAGTCCTTCTGCGTTGTTTCGTGGGCTCAGGGGGTTCCTCTTGGGGCATCTGTTGGGCTCTCCCAGGCTTGTATGGGGCCCTCGAGGAGGCTCTCTTTGTGCCATGCCCAGTCCCCCCTCGGGGCACTTCCTGGCGGTCCCTGGGAAGCTCCAGGATCCGCATGGGCTGCATCTGTTTGGGTGTCCTTCTTGGCCTGGCCGTGGCCTCTCAAGGCCTGTCGTCGACTGCCCTGAGGGCTTTGTGAGGCATTGTTGGGGAATGGGCGCATCCTGTTGGCGATCGCTTGTGATCTGTGTGGGGCCTCTCTTCGGACCTCTGGTGGACTCTCTTCGGGGTCCCTCGTGCGCTTCGTGATGCCTTTGGGTCGCTGTGGGCGTCTCCCAGGCCCTGGGGCCCTCGCGGCGGCCTTCGTGGCTTTCTCAGGCAGTCTGGGTGGCATGCCGGCGCTCTCTTGGTCCGTTGGCGTCCCATCGCACGCCCCCCCCATGGGAGGGATTTTTGGGGCAGTGACAGGCGTCCTAACGCTGGCACCCAAGGGGCCGACGAATTTCCATGTCTATGTGTCTGGCATCGTCGCGGCGCGGATCTTCGTGCTGACCGCAATGAGCGACGCTGAGACGGGTGGGCCGCCAACGGAGTTGAGCAGGCACCTGGCCCTCGAGGTGGGCAAGGCCCCCGCCATTTTCCGCTACGGCGCCATCATAGGGTACGTCGTTTACGCATTCATCGTGGTCTTTGTCGACTACCACGCGATGTACCTCTTCTACCACAATGGGGGCATCCTGCCGCTGATGGTGCTCATCCTGTTGGGCTGCGCTTTAGGGGTGGACCCGGCCGCAACATATCTCTTCCGGAGCAGGCCGCTCTTGCTTATGGGAAGGATTTCGTACAACCAGTACATCCTTCAAGAGACGGTGTGGGACTTCGCCGAATACAACATCGGAGTGCACAGCTCCTTCTGGAAGAAGGTGCTGTTCCCAGTGCTGCTGTTAGCCTCCGCGTACTTGTGCGAGCGGTTCTTCACCAGCCCCCTGACCCAGTGGCAGCGCTGGCGCCAGGAGAAGAATATCAAGGGCATCGACGACTGGGCCATCGAGAAAACCCTGAGTATCAAAAGCACCCTGTCTGAAAAGGTCTCAATCTGGTAGCAAGCTTTTTGGGGGCCCTGTGTGAACGCCTGGACAGGCGCACGGGGCCCTCAATGGATCCAGAATCTCTTCCATTGGGTCTCGGCGGCTGCTTGTGCAGCGTCGTCGTAGTGCCCGATAGTTGTTTCTTGTGCACCCTGATTGTTCTGTCTCTTTGGCGACCATGCTAACACCACTTCATCATCATTATATCGAAGACGCCTAATGCGAATCACCGCCGCTCCCTGCCTTTTTTGGAAGTGCCTATGTGGCCGAACGTTGAGGCCAGGCCTGCCAATCTATCGGACAATGTGTTCCCCGAATCGGTTTGGAAAGCCTTCGGGGAACACGTGAGCATCTTGAAGGTCATTTTGGCCGTTTGGACGCCATTCTGACCCTTTCGGGCTTCTTGGGGCCGTCCTGGGCCTATTGGGCGATCTTTGGGGGCACTTGGGCCGTCTCGGGCCGTCGTGAGGCCGAAAAAAAGCAAATGCCACAATCCTTCAAACACTAAGGGGAAATCACTGATTTTTGCCTTTTCGGGCCTTCCTGGAGGCCCTCTTGGAAGCCTCTTGGGTCGTCTTGGGCCATCTTAGGACCATCTTCGGCCGTCTTGGCTGGCTCCTGGCCTGGCCGACGCCGTCAGAAGCCGTTTGGGGGGCCTTTCTGGGCCGACTTGGAACCCTCTTGGAATGCTCCAGGGCCGTCTTGGCAGCCATCTTGGGCGTCTTAAAGGCCTCCTGGGCCGTCTTGGGGGCCTCTTGGGGCCGTCTTGGGGGCCTCTTGGCCCGGTCTGGGGCTATCTTGGAGGCCTTTTGGGCGATCTTCGGGAGATCTTGGGCCGTCTCGGGCCGTCGGAAGGCCGAAAAGGAGGACATGTCAAAATCCTTCAAAAACCTTAGGAGTATCAGTGTTTGTTTGCCTTTTTCTGGCCTTCCTGGAGGCCCTCTTGGAGGCCTCTTGGGCCGTCTTGGGCCAGCTTCGAGCCAACTTCGACCATCTTGGCGGGTTCCTGGCCAGTCTGACGCCGTCGGGAGCCGTCTTGGGGGCCTCTCTGAACCGGCTTGGGGCCCTCTTGGAGCGCTTCGGGGCCGTCGTGGAGGCCATCTTGCGCGTCTTGGAGGCCTCTTGGCCCGTCTTGGGGCCCTCTTGGAGCCGTCTTGGGGGCCTCTTGAGCCGTTATGGGGCCATCTTGGAGGCCTCGTGGGCGATCTTGGGGCGATCTTGGGGGCCTCTTGGGCCGTCTTCGGCCGTCGGAAGGCCGAAAAGCAGCAAATGCCAAAATCTGTCAAAACCCTATTGGAAATCAATGATTTTGGCCTCTCCGGGCCCTCCCTGAGGACCTCTTGGAGACCTCATGGGTCGTCTTGGGCCGTCTTGGAGGCTTCTTGGGCGAACTTGGAGGTATCTTGGACTCTCTTGGGCCGTCTTGGAGGCCGTATTGGACCATCTTGGGCGAACTTGGAAGCCATCTTGGACCATCTTGGAGGCCATCTTAGACCAACGTGGCCATCTTGGCGCCATCTTGAGCCATCTTGGAGGATTTGTTTGGTCGGATTGAGCACCTTCCCGGGACCCCGGCGGGACGCGCTGGAGGCCCAGGGGGAGTTCTATAGGAAAAGAACCAAAACCAAAACCGAGAGGGTTCAGCACGCCAGGCACCCCTGTGATGAATCAACAGGGGGCGGCGGATCGAATGGCCTTCGGCCCATCCCGCCACCGTGCCTGGGTTGTGGGTATGCAGCATGCAGCCGATTGGATGGTCGATGAGATCTCGTGTGAGGTTTTGGGGCCTCTTGGGCTTTTTTGAGTCTCTTGGGGGCCTCTTGGGGCTCTTGGGGGCCCCTCGGGGGCCCCTCCGAGCCTCTTGGGCGCATGTTGGGGCCTCCTTGGGGCCTCCTGGGGGCCTCTTGGGGGGGGAATATCGGACTCTCTTGGGCTCCTCTTGGGGCCCTCTTGGGGCCCTTTTTGTTATGTCTTGAGGCCCTCCTGGGCCGTCCTGGGGCGTCCTGGGGCGCTCTTGGGGCGATCTTGGGGCCCTCTAGAGCCGTTTTGGGGTGCCTCTCGGGCCATCGTGGAGCGTCGGGAAGCCGAAAAAGCGAGAACGCCCAAATCCTTCAACAGCCTTCGAACACTCATTCATGTTTGCATCTTGAGGCTCTCTTGGGAGGCCTCTTGGAGGCCTCTTGGGGCGCCTTGGAGGCCTCTTGGGTCGTCTTGAGGCCATCTTGGGCCTCTTTGGCCGAGGTTTGGGCGTCTCGGGGCCCTCTTGAACCGCCTTGGGGGCTCGTGGGGCCCTCTCGGCCTGTCTTGGGGCCCCCGTGGGCCCGACGAATTCCCGCGCCACCACGCCCCGAAGCCCAGAGGGGCACACGGGAAGCCCCAGGGTGCACGCTGGGAGCCGCCTGTTCCTATTTTCGCTTGAGTCGTCCGTTGAGCGTTCGACGGGATTATGAGTATTGCTTTTTGGCCTGGTGCATCGTTCTCGGCACACCTCGTCGTCATCCAGAGTCTCCAGAGCTTCCTCCTCCTCCTCCTTCTCCTCCTCCCCCTCCCCCTCCTCCTCCTCCTCCTCCTCCTCCTCCTCCTCCTCCCCTCCTCCTCCTCCTCCTCCCTCCTCCTCCTCCTCCTCCTCTCTCTCTGCTGCTCTGTTCCTAGCTCCTGCTCCTGCTCTGCTCCTCTGCTCCTCCTCCTCCTCCTCCTCCTCCTCCTCCTCCTCCTCCTCCTCCTCCTCCTCCTCCTCCTCCCCCACCACAGTTCAGAAGTGTTTGTCCGGGCCGCTCAGAGAATCCCCAGGTTAACTCTTATGCTTGCAGCTCTTGTCATGCCAAGTTTTCGCGGATTTCGCTTGAAATGGAACAGGGGGGCATCTGAGGGGCTCCTTGGGGCAGCTCCAGGACCAGTTCTTCTGAGGATGTCCCACGCGAGGGCGCCAGTTTGGAATTCGTCGCCAGATTCGCCGGATTTGAACAGGGGGGCCTCTGAGGAGCTCCTTGGGGAGGCTCTGGGAGCGGTTTTTTGAGGATGTCCCACGCGAAGGCGCCCGTTTGGAATTCGTCGCCGGATTCACCAAATTCGCGTGGCATGCGCCAAGTCACATCTCGTCGTTGGCGCCAGCTGGCGGCGAGGTTGCCGCGTGGACCGTGCCGCGTGGCTGGAGTGGAGGCCCATGTAGAGCCCCTCTCGCAGATCCTTCACCCACTCGGGAGGAGGCTGGGGGGCTGGCCGCCAGCCGCGATGCTGCTGGGAGGCCGCGCCCGACCTTCTCGGTGCGGGCCCTGCGCACGAACGGTGCGTGGCTCAGATTCAGGCGCAGGCGGGCATGGACCTCCTCCTCCTCCTCCTCCTCCTCCTCCTCCTCCTCCTCCTACACGTTTTTAAGTTGCTCAGCCGCTGCCTCAAAGAAGTGTTGAGCGCGGCTCCTTTCCCCACCTTTCCTTGACACCTGTCATGCATTTGCCTAGCTTTGTCGCCACTGTGGCTTCTGCCCGCTATCGCCGGCAGGGTGAGTGCTCGGTTCCACCAGTCTGCGAGGCCCGCAGGCGGATCCACAGCACTATATATAGCACTCGAGTGAGGTAGTGCCGATGAGAAAATATATTCCGAAGTGATTTAGGGCCTTTCAAGAGCAACTCAACCGCCCTTCAAGAGCCTCTCATGAGACTCTCGGAGACCCTCTCAAACTATGCCAAAGGATCCTCTCATGAGCACCCCAATCATTAGCCGTGCAAGAGCTTCTTAAGAGCCTCTCAGAGCCTCTCATGAGACTCGCAGGGGCCTCTCAGGACCTTCCGGAGACAATCTCAGGAGCCTCTCAGGACACCCTCAGGACAATCTCAGGACCCTCTCAGGACCCTTTCAGGCGCCTCGCAGGAGCATCCCAGCATCCTGCTTTTATGGTATTCTATTGGTATCCTTGTGGCGCAGGCGCCTTGGGTGATTTGCCGCCCCCCCCCCACCGTGACTTTCGTGTCGCATTGGTGAATTTGGTTTTAGCTGAATTGGTCCACACACCTCCCCTTCGTTCCCTCTCCATCCGCGTTCCTTCCCCTGCATATTATGCTCGCGTGTTGGCCTTGATGCGCGTGCCATTTTCTGATCTGAATACCTCCGCAGTCGCGAGCTTTGATCTCGTCCGCGTCTCTCGTCCGTTGTGTACACAGACCCTGTCGTGTAACAGGTGTTGTCCTTTGATGCGAGCATGTCCTTCCATGTGGCGTGCACAGGCGAGCGCCTGTTTCATGCCTGCCAGCACCCTCCTTGCCAGTTGAGGCTCGTTCGCATCGCGCTCGCGGCTCGAATATTCCCAATGGAGAATGGCAATCCTGACCACGCGCTTCCATGATCTGATTTAAGTTCTGGCTGGCATTGGCTCTGAAACTACGGAGGGCGGGTATTGTTTCCATTTTTTTACGGCGCGGGCTCAAGTCGGTATCATACGTTGCCCCACGCATGGTTGTGAGTGGCCAAGACCTGTCTGCAGCCCTACGGCCTGGATTTCCCAACACCTGCCCGGCATGGCGGGCGGACCGTTTTGGGAACCGTCTTCTTGTCGACCCGTGGATCTGTCATCTGGAGCTCTGTGGCCGAGGTCTCGCGGTGGATGCAGCCGTGGCGACGAGGCCGGGTCGCCAGGCCCAACGCGGCTTCCAGCGATCCATCACGGCCACGGACGACGACAAAGCCGGCCGCGGCGGCCGCGGCCGCGACCGCGGCGGGCCATTGCGGACCAGCTCCGCGGGAAGGAGGAGGAGGAGGAGGAGGAGGAGGAGGAGGAGGAGGAGAAGGACCAGTGCAAACCTAAGACTCACCAATGATGCTGCAATGAACCCTCCTTCAAGTTCTGTGTTCGCAGGTCCTAGAAGGACTTATTTTCACTGCGGGACGCGGCTCGTTGGAACAACACCGTCTGAAAATCTGCAGCTCTGCCAGAGTATCGCTCCTAGGACTTCGACGTCGCGAGTCAACGTTCCTGCTGCGCCCTGACGCCCCAGGATCGTGCCAGAACACCATTTCCGGGA